AAGTATTATTTAAACACAAAATACGCATTTTATAGCAAAGACGCTTTTGCAATGCTAAACTTTTTGCGAATTATGTTGAATAACCTAGAATTTTTTTCTTAAAATTAAGATAATTTGAGTTTCCCTCCTACGATTATTTTCCTTTACGCCTTAAAATCATTGTGAGATATCACTGAAACGATATCAATAAAAAACCGCGAGGTGCAAGAACTTTTGGGTTAAAATTGGTTCAAGCCCACCGTGCTAGCATTCAACAATAGTCAGCCATCATATTAACGTCCCATCTGCCTTGATATCTGCTCTCCATTTCATTAATATCTTGATGAAACCGTTCTCCCTGTTCCTCGCTGTAGTCTCCTAAATTTTTGGGAAAGTAACTTAGATGTGAATGTAGGAAATGGAGCTTCAAACTCATCAAGCATCCCAATTTTTGAAAGTTTTTGATCATACCATTCACTATTAGTTCCCAATTCTCGCTCTTATGGTTGCCAAGAAAGTTTTCAATAACTCCCTTAAAACTAAGCCATGCAGCTTTCTCCTTTTTACTCATTACTGTGATAAATTTTTCATCTTTTACTAGTTTGAGAATTTGAGGCCCAACAAAAATTCCTTCCTTTAATTTAGCATCAGATATCTCTGAAAATTTTTGTTCCAGGTACTTGAAATATTTCCCTTCTTTATCTAAAGACTTTACAAACTGTTTCATTACCCCTAGTTTAATATGTAAAGGTGGTGGAATTACCTTTGTAGGTTCAACTGGAGGTTTTTTATAATATTTTTGGAACCTGGTGTAAAGGATGTTTTTTTGGGCCATTCTTTTTGTACGTTATGTTTTTTTCGATCTCTACTGTCCCACAAACATTAAAAGCAAGGTGTTTTCGTAAAACCTGCTTGTTGGCCCAACATGATACTTACAATTTTAAAATCTCCACAAATTTGCCAATTGTGTTCTTTATATTTAATATTCTCCAAAACTAATTTGACAGTTTCATAATCTTTTTTAAGTTCAGTGGAATGGGCTACGGGAATTGAACCAAAAACATTAGTGTTATGAATTAGCACTGCCTTTAGACTTCTTTTAGAAAAGTCATTGAATAACCTCCAATGTTGATCTTCATATACGTTTGGTTTCAATTTATTTATTAGTCCTTCAATGTCAGAACAATATACTAATCAAAGCTCATCGTCTTTTGTAAAATATTTCCGAAATTCCTTTTTTCTGTCACGATAAAAGTAACTTATATCGGAAAGTACGTACTCTAATGGTGAACTGTCGATTTCCATATTTGCAGAAGGAAGAGTTAAATGACTTAAAATTTCGGGTTTTGTCACAGATACTACACATGTGTAAATTATATTCTGTTTATTATTTTTATTATAGCCCTTTACATTGGTCATGCAAAAGTAGCAATCTTCTTGATTCAATGGTTTTTTCCATAATGATGGTTTTTTAAACTTCAGGTGTTTATCCTCTTTCGTATCATTCCAACGAGTTAACATTGTGTAGCAGGAACTGCAGATTGTATGTGGAACCCATTTTTCATTCTGATTGACTATCTCAAAATCAAAACAATCTTTGTAAATTTGTTTAATGTTTTCATTAATTAATTTGCGATTTTTCGGGACATCAAATTGTCCGCATACGTAACAAAATACATCTGCATTGCTGTCACATGTATGTTGTGAGGTTGACACTCCAAAAAGAACTTTAAGAAGCGTTTGAAGTTTTTTTATTGTTTTAATTTATGAAAGCCACGATATATAGAAAAATGCCCGCACGCTAGGGATCCTGGTCCGATTGCAAGCGAATCCACCGTCCTAGGGGTGATAACTCTCATACCTCCCTAGGCCTAAGTATGAGAGCTTTCCGACTTTGACGAGAACATTGTCAACTTGTCGTCGGACACACTACGGTATCATCCTCACACCCTAATGTCCCCCTGCAAGGCAGCGCGCCTTCGCTGGCTTCGTTACTTCGATAGACAGGAAGCGAATCATTCTACACATCCCCTTTCGGGGCAGTTGTCATCGCCTACTACATCTATCGAAGCAGCAGGATTTATATTGTGCCAAAGCAAAACGGAAATACAATACTGTATTATGTCCTAGCAGGCCTGCGTCCAGAGAAAAGTATTCTGCAATTGTTGAATTGAACTTCATCCAGAAATTATGCCTAATTCTCTAAAAATGTTCCTAGATGTCGTCTCGATAAATACATTTTAATTTAGGCATTCCGCCATATTTGATCCGCCATTTTGAATTTTTAAAAACTGACTGCAGATTCGTAATCAGCGATCTTTAAAACCCCCGAGAAACAAGTTTGAGACAAATCTAATCAATTTTTAGAAAATTTTGTATTTTACATAAATTACATAAAATCTGACATGTTTTTTGAGGTTAGAAAAAAATTCTGACGTGATGGAGCAAATCTAATTTCGGATACCTGTTTAGCGCATCAAAATACATAGGGGTATGGTACTGTGGACTTTCGCGCAGGGTACTTTTCTTTTTTTGTGGTGCTGTGTCATGTATAGAATATTGGTACAAGGTTCCCATTCAGGTTCTGGTGCATCAGCTTTAGCTATCAATGTTTTATGTAAAGGTTCCTGTGCAGGTTATTTCCTTTTGTAAATTGTAGGTACTTAATTATAAAGGATCGTGTAAGGAACCCGTAAAGGATCCTACATCTTTTCCTCATTCAATTAATTTATTTTACATTAAACATTGATAGTTTATGTTCTTGCATCGTAACATGCATAGAAACCTTGTTCCAGTATCATGTTCAGGATTAGTCAAAGACCCTTGTCAGATTTTGTACGTGAATTTTAAACTGAAATACGTTTTAAATATTTTTCGATCCTCCAAAAGAAAAACTAAGGCCCAAGTCGATTCGCAATTAACACTACGGTAGTGTTACTTAGTAAGAGTACATGTTTGGTGTAGCAGATAAATGTTCTTTCCCGTTTAATTTTACGTGAACACATATTCTTACTATATCTTTTGTGAACATCGCTGATTCGTTTTCAGAAATATCTACAATTTGTGTGATCATATGGCAACTATCATCAAAAACATTGACAACTGTTATGTCTTGTACAACAGTATATTCCATTTTATAGCTTCTGTCCACGATAAAGCAATTTATTCTTACGTGTAAATTATCGCTCAACATGGCGTAAGTATTATCTAAACGTTCGTTGATTCTTGATGACGACATAAACAAGCAACCGTCTTCAACCATTTTGTAGAAAAAAAGTGAATACTCTGAAATTGGCAACTTTTGTTTCCAAAAGGTACTACATTTGAAGGTGGACCAAAATACATACAATCAGAAATATTAACAATTTTGTTTACTTTATTAGTACCTACAAAAGTTAGAAAGTGATTACATTTATAAGACAAATTTACACATTTTTTCAATACGATCATGCTGTATTGCAGACTTATTTTTCGACATATTTGATGATGAATGCCTTTCGCAGAATGTATTCCATTTAGCAATTGCATGTGCCCAGATTCAAAAGCGTATGTGTTATGAAATGTTAATGGGCCCCAATCGTAAACGCTTCTGGATCAATCGTCAGCTCGATCGATCTCAGCAATTGATATTTCTTCTTTTAATAGATGGTAAAAAGCTTCAACAAATAGAGCATTGTCAGTTCAAGCGGTAACACGTTAAGAATAGGAATACTGTAGTAAAAGAGCTAAATTTCCCACTCTTATGCCTTCCAAAACTCTCTGTCTGACAAAGGGCTAGTTAACCTTTTTACTTGATAAGGACTTTTAATGTTTTTCAAAAGTATATCAATTTCCTTTCCCACCTTTCGTGGTAATAAACCTACATACCTTTCTTTTGTTCCGAACCATGCTTTCACAAATTGTTTTGCAATACCAGTACAAATATGTAAACCATCTGGCACGCAGCCTAAAATTAAATCAAAATTTTTTTAAATTTTATAAACGAGATTTTGATTTTACACCGAGAATTGGTTTTGATTCTGTAGCTGTTTCACAATGAATTTTAGTTTGTTTTAAATTTCGGAGTTTTGGAATTTTCTTTAATAAGGGATATTTGATACATCCACCGCGACGATTTTTAGATTGTCTTATCCACTCACCAGGATGAAGACACAAAGGGCAGCCATAGCATGAGTTGTATTGCCCAAATCCTTGCATTGGTGCTCGAGCTACTGAATCGACACAACATACAAGAGGAAATACCTTTATGTTACGTTTATTCAAATTCAATAATCACACGATACACCTTCAGTTGATAATTTTTTTATATTATCAACAAATGGTTTTAAGAACACTTTCATATTTAGTTTATCTTTGCCAACCCAAACTCTAGCTAAAATTAATTCCTTAGTTCTAATATTTTGTGGTATCTCATTAATCATTAAATATCATAGCCACATTGAGGAAGTTGAGCTTTCAAACATAGGAGCTCCATCAGTGTTACGACAAATTTTTTATTTCTTTAAACAATTTATTATTGCTAATTTATAATACAGTAAAATCCGCTTATAATGACATTGAAGGGGCAGAGTGATTTCGTCATACTAAGCAGTCGTCACAATAAACGGATAATATAAAATTATAAAGTAAAACAATCACCTAAGATATATTTCAAATTTAATATGTATTTAATTAAATAAAGTACACCTGTCAATTATAAAATATTGACAACTTATTACAAATAGTCACTAATTTTTGTCTGCTTTTCTACTTTATTTAAACAATAATAGTCTCTCATTGCATTATGTACACAAGACATTTGCAATATTAACTTTTTCATTGACCAAATTACTGTGTACAAATTGTGCTAACAATTCGGCTGCTTTCAAGCCCTTGGCAACAGAAGGTGTTTCTCGGATTGTGTTTTCGACAGTTTCTTAATCTTCTTCCTCAATCTGATCATTTTTGGCGTCTTCTAAGATGGTATCAATTGTTACTTCTTCTGATGAGATAACATTGTTATCAACGTCATTATAATTGTTTCACATTTCATCTGAAACTTGTAACTGAAGATTCAAAGTTTTAACCCACAAAGCTACTGGTACGTCGTCTTCAACATTTATTTGACTGCAAGCAACATCCCTAGAAAATGAATCAATAAATCCTGCGTGTCTGAAGCAATTTGAAACCGTTTCTTGTGAAATTTTGTTCCAAGCATCATAAACCATCAGTATTGCATCCAACACCGTTATATTCACGGAAGAAAGGTCTTTATCAGCATGCAGATGATCAATCGTATTAATCAAAAGATTTTTTCTGAAATTCGCTTTCAATGCACGAATCACGCCCTGGTCCATCGGCTGAAGAATAGCTGTCGTGTTGGCTGTCAGAAAGACAAGGGATATAGATTTTAAATCTTTAATTTGAGGATGAGATGGGCAGTTATCAACTAATAAAAGAATTTTTTTATTCTTCTTTACTAATTCGTAATCCCAGTCTCGTATCCACTTTTCGAAAACTGGTGACCTCATCCAAGCTCTACGATTATTTGTGTAATCTACAAGCAACGATTTACAACCTTTAAAACATCTTGGCTTTTTGGATTTTCCTATCACCAATAGTTTTCTTTTTATTGTGCCACTCATATTTGCTGCTACCATTACTGTTAGTCTATCCTTTGACATCAGCAGAATAACGATCACGTAAATTTGGCCACACAGTCGACAACCAATCATTAACACAAGTTTTATCAACGATCGCAGATTCTCCACTTATTTTGCCCATTACAATATTATGTCTAGTTTTAAATCGACTTATCCAACTTGGAGTACACTTAAAGTTTATATTCATTTCTTTAGCAAACAAATTAGCTTTCTCTATTAACAAAGGACCACTGATAGGCATTCTTTTCTGTTTCATAGCACTAAACCATTTAATTAGACACTTTTCAACACTCTCCTGTGTTGATTTTCGAATACGCTTTGATTTTAGAACATTTGAATTAAATGATTTCTCAACATTGTTTTTATTCTTAAAAATCATAGAAATGGTGGAATGTCCAACACCAAATTCTTTTGCAAGAGATGAGTTAGATTCTCCATTTTCTAATCTACATATAATGGCACCTTTTTTTCAATTGTGAAAGCTCTGCGATGATGGGGCATTTTTGTGTAAAACTAACGAATGATTATACTGATCATATGTACAGCTAATTCGTCATTATAAGCAGTGTGGCTAACAAAAATATTTCAATATAAACTTTAATATAAGCGGTATATTACTATAAGCAATGTCATTATAAGCAGACCTAAATACATTGAAATAGTTATGAGACCAAACTTTTAATCAAAATGTTGTCACTTTAAGCGGTTCGTCAATGTAAGCGGAGTCATTATAAACGGATTCTACTGGAGTATATATGGTGGTCCGACCTTGACAAAATGCACCATTGTCGAATTGTTCTAACCAAAAAGAGATACGTTTCCGGATTTGATTTTTCACTTTGTTTTTTTTTCAACCATGAGTCCCACAAAATTTCTACATACTTGCCTTGACGATTCCATGTTTTTTAAAATATTTTATTAATGGTTTTTCACATGATGCATAAAACTTTTTTTGAGCTTTTTTTGTACCAAGGTCATAAAAAACACTACATTTAATTCTCTAAAAATGGAATATATGTATATAACTGACAGATTAGCTCAGTCGGATAGATGCCTCGCTTAGCGGTCGTTTAAGGACTAAGGGTAATTACCCTTGGTTCGCGCCCATTTGGCTTGGTATTTTTCCGGCACGTGAGACAATCTGAGCGGGAGGTTTGACGTCGAGGTATAATGATGTGCACCGTCGATTATTGTCCGGTACACACCATTAGAACTCGACTGTCGATAAACCGGTTGTACTCAGGAGATGTTTTCTACAGTTTCCCTCTCCACTGGCGAGAAAACCCATTAGACGGGTCGTCCAGGCAAATGCGAGTACTCCTAATTTTCAAGTCGCTCTGTAGGCGCAAAATTTAGTATTAAGGAAATGTATATAAGAAATATTTGTAAGAGAAATTTACGAGATGTAAACAAACACTTGTATAGCCAAGATTGTAGGCTTAGGACGAGTGTATAAACAAATAAATAAAAATGGAATATAACAAAAGGTTAGGTGTCACTAAGACAATCTTCGCCAAGCATGCGCGTAGGTGGCGCTAGTGAACTTGTCCAAAAAATCGCGAATGGGCTACCTAGACAGTGGTTCAACCTCGACTATACTCCACTACTAATATCATTTGTCAAATTTATAGAAATATGCTTCTCTCTATTTTGTTTTTAGAATTGTTCTAAATTAGGCAATAATAAATTGTTTAAACAAATGAAAAGTTAATTGTAGTAATAGTAAAATACATTATTTATCTTTAGTAACCAATAATAGTGAAGTACTTCACACTCATGATTCCAACAATTTTTACATTATTTAAACAACAATACTTTTGGTGTGTTTTATATTCAGGGTACATATATAGACAATAATTATAAATAATTATTTTTATGCTTTTGGAATTTATTTAACATTAAAAACTGTGTGTAAAGAGTAAAAAAAAATTTACAAAATACATCTTAACCCTTTGCGACATAGTGACACTCCTGAGTGTCACCTTTTTTCTCCACTTTTTTGCATTTTTCAAGAACTATTTCATTTGATTCAATGACAACAAGCATTCTACATGTATCAGGGAACATTCCTTACTATAACAAAGAAAAAAAAATTTTTTGTTGATAAAATGATTGTTATAAATAAATAAACTTAAAAAAAGTACTTTTTTACAATAAATGTAATTGTGTCTAACCAACAATATGAAATACTTTGAGGATTATATCAAGGCAGTTTTCGGAATCGCTGATTTCAAATCTAAGGTCAGTTTTCAAAAATTCAAAATGGCGGATCCAAAATGGCGGACTTATTTTTTAAAATTGCTCTAATTCACTTGAAATTTGTTACTCGGGGATTTTCGGGCTTGCTGATTACAAATATGAAGTCAGATTTTCAAAATCCAAAATGGCAGATCTAATAAAAAAAATTCGCCCGCCATATTGGATCCGCCTTTTTTAATTTTAAAAACCTGACTTCATGTTTGTAATCAGCTACCCCAAAAACCCTCAAGTAAGAAGTTTTAAGTGAATCATTATTTAAAAATATAAGTTTGCTATAAGACATATTTGATCCGCCATATTGAATTTTAAAAATATGAAAAATCCGACTTCAGATTCTTAATCAGCGACCCTGAAAACCCCCTAAAGTGTACTTGGTTATTAAATTCATTGACAAGAAAAATGCATGCTTTAAAGGGTTAATTACTAGTTTCATAAATTTTTTCAGAATTTTTAATCTATCTATATTAATAAAATCAGACTTCTGTCTGTACATTGCTCCAAGCTTTAAAATTCTTATATATTTTTTCGTTTTGAGACATTAGAATTCGAAAAATGTAAAAAAAATTTCTGTCTGTCTGTCTGTCTGTATGCAAAACTTTGTTCGCGCATCACTTAAAAACGGTTTAACCGATTAAAGTCAAACTTGGCAGTCTATTAGGTATTAACGTAACTTAAAATCATAGCCTTATCCGATTGAAAAATATTATCTTGAACGGAAGTTATGACATTTTTAAAAAAATTCAAAAAATCAAAAAAATGAAAATTTTATAATTTTTGTAAAATGGATGGAAAAATATCCATAGTTAACTTTTTCAGATACATACAACTTATTTCTACAATAAAATTTAAAAAAAGACTTATTTTGAAATTTTTTTTCGTTTTTTCTGATAAAATTTTTTCTACAAAAATGATGATTCTTGATTTTTAAACAAGCTTTTCATGGAAAGTTATTAAACTTTTTGTATTTAAAGACCAGTATTTAAAGCAAGAAATTTGCCTCATTAGATAAAAATATTGTTTCAATATTTAGTTTTTAAAATCAAGAAAGTTAGGCACGAGTTAACAAAAATATGTTCATATTGATTGAATGTACCAGTCCTCAAAAAATTAAATATTAATTAATTCTTGCATTAAGTTGGTATTGATATTTTCTAATTAATTAATCTATTTGTTTTTTTGGTAATTTTAATTTCAATTTTATCATAAAAATAGAAAAAATTAGGAATTTTAAATCTAAAATTTAAAAGTTCAATTATTTTTACCCATAAAAAATGAAAATATTGACATCTAATTATATTTAATTTTACCTACTTATTACTTTTGAATAAGATGTTTTTTGTTTTTACAAATTATAATCCAAGATAATTTAGTAATACTGAAATGAAAATGTTTCATATTTTTTATGGAATTTAATTAACAAGAATTTTTTTAGTTTTATTAAGCTCCTGGAAAATAATCCCGAGTAGAAATTTTGACAGGGGCCTGACCGGGTTCAGACCGGCGTGAAACAGGAAACCCAGCTGGCCGGAAATCTGTGATCCTTTCGTAATTTTTTTAAAGGGCTGTTAATATTAAAATAAGCAATTAGCTTAAGTAAAAATTTTAGTCGAATAAACGTTGGTAATTTCAGTTTCAGAATATTGGGACGTTGCTCGGCTCAGTAATGGCACATTAATAGCAAAAATTTTGTATGTGCTATGATGGCAAAATACAATTGCTAATATTGAGACGTACCTCCCCCAATAATATCACAATATCAATAAATAGTGTAGCTTTTATAAAACATTAAGCTTTCTTAACTTCACGTCAGAGTAGCAGAGTGAAATAAAAGCCGTATAAATATGATAAATTAATTAGTTAATTAATAAAAAATGTAATAGTTTATATAGTTTTTGTATTTTGACAATACTGGGTAAGTAATGGCAGTCAATATTGGGCTATTAACGTCTGCCGACGTCCAACCGCAATTGAGGAGTTTAGTCAAATAACTCGATCTTCGCTCGGCTTAAACGCTGAAAAGCCAGTCAATGGTATCAAATATAGGAAAAAATAAAAACTTAAATTTTCGATATTTTAAAAACGCTATCTTAAAGGAAATGGAAAAGCACAACTTTTTTCTTACTGTCATTTTTTTATAGAACGATTATTTTTTACAATAAAAATTAGAAACTGAAAAATTTTTATTCTGAAATTAATTAAATTTTAAAACATAAATCGTATTATTTAGTACAAATTTAAATGAATTTGATTGCAATTTGGTATGTATACTCATTTGGGTCTCCTGAAATTGACAAAGTCTTAAAAAGTTTAAAAATTATTCATTGTTTATAATTTCTTTTATTATAAATGATGACGTGTCATCGATGAAGCTTTGTTACTTTCAATGAGAACAAGTATGCAGGGAAGTTTTGAGTTTAGCAAAGTTGCAGTGAGAAAGTTGTTCCTTACTATTTAAGGAAGTTTTTTGGAAAATTTCAAATAAATTCGTTAAAAAACAAAAAAGTTATATAATTGTTAAAGAAGTGCGCGCTGCGCGTAGACTTCAACGTTACCTGTAAAGACGTGAAAATTGTCTCTTTTCAGAATTCTATAAATAACATTTTATGCAATTAATTCATATCAATGCTTTTTTTATTTTAATAATAATTATTTTATTTATTTACAAACATTAGAACATTAAAACATTTTTTTTGTTTAACTGTATTTATATTTTTTAGCAATTTTTATTTTTACAGTTC